AATAATATAAATTTTGATCAAAATTTGGATTTCCCCCTTTTCTACTGATCACCTTCTATATAGAAAAATTATGATTGAAAATAAATAATAAATAAATAAACTTATTTTTTTTTGCTTTTAAAAATCTTTGTTTATATAAAAATTCTATTATCTTATGTCTTAAGTTTTGGCATAGTTTTAACAAGTTAAAATTTATCTTTAATATCTATCTTTAAAGAAAAAACAAAAAGAAAAGTTAGTAATGTTTACAAATTCCAATTTAAAAGAAAAACATCTTACCTCCCTTTAACTTATCAGTATAAAATCTAAGTTTAAGAGCTATCTCTAAAGAAAATACGAAAAGAAACATTAGTAATATTTTTAATTTAAAAAAAAATATCCATCTTCTTTTAAATCTTTCTAATCTGAAATCTAAGTTCAAGAACCATTCTTAAAGTAAATATAAAAGAAATATTAGTAATATTACCAATTTAAAGAAAATACATAACCTTTTTTTAACTTATTATTCTAGTCTAAAATTTAAACCTAAAAGGCATCATTAAAGAAAATACAAAAAAAAATATTAGTAAAGTTTTCAATTTAAAAAAAAAATAACATTTTACTTTAATTATTTTTTAGTCTAAAATTCAAATTGTAGAACTGCCTTAAAGAAAATATGAAAAAAATATTAGTAATATTATCAACTTAAAGAAAAATATACAACCTTTCTTTAACTTATCATTTTAATCTAAAATTCAAATCCAAGAGTTATTATTAAAGAAAATATAAAAGAAATATTATTAACATTTTTAATTTAAAAGAAAAATGTTCATCTTTTTATAATTGATTTTTTCGAATTGTTTCAGTCTAAATTCAAGTTCAAAAATTGTCTTTAAAAAAAAACTTGTTTTTAAACAAAAAATAAAAATTCTTGATAAAAAAATGATAATCAAATACATGTAAATCATATATATATTATATAATATATAATATCAAAATGCTAAAATAAATTCAGCATTTTCAGTATTTTAGTATTTTGGAATGGATTTGTGAAACTAGTTTCAGCAGTTTCACAGTTTTGGCATTATCATAGTTCTATTATTATTGAGTATTATAGCTTTATTATTACTGAAAATTAAAGTTTTATTATTGCCTAGTAATATGATTCTATTATTACTGATTATTATAACTCTATTATTATTAGTATTATAGCCTATTATTGCTGAGTATTGTAATCAAATGTAATAGCTATGTCAAGAATTTCTTATAAATATAAAAAAGTTTAACTAATGCTCAAAAACATGAATTCTACCTTTATATATTATAATAAAATAATTTGTGTTAAATATATAGATTGGATTAAACAGAAATGGAATGTTAGAGTTTATGAATCTATTATTATACAAATTTTTATAATCTAAAGATGAAAGACTTACTACTGAAGTTGTCAATCATTAAAAAAGAGAAATAGATTTGTCAATTTTTTGAATTTGAACTTGCTCTTAAGAAATTCATATTAATTTATCAATATCAAACAGTCTTGAGCAATGCAATGCTAATTGACTATTTGCTTATAAATTAGAAATTCCTGAAAATAAAATGCAATTCTTTTTAGATAGCTATATAAGTTCAAGGAATATAATGGAATTTACTAGGAAAAACTTTGTGGAGAAGCAGGATCTGTTGATGAAAATATTATTATTACTTCTATTATTATAAAACAAATATACTAACTATCCACCTGAATGAAGTGAATTTTAATAAAATCGTCTTGGTATTAAGCCACTTCTTGATGTTATTTTTATTTGTTATTTCAATGTGAGCCTTCTTTAAATATAATTCAGTATTGTGAAAATATTGTATATTTTATAAAAACATTGACTAGAGAAGCAAATTGTCTTTTATAGGAATTGTTATAATGTGAGGTAGACATAAGAGTTGGTTTGTTGATTGAAAAATCCATAAGTTAAAGGATTTATAAGTATGGATATAAATCAATTTTTGTATGTACAAATTGTTCAAAGTTTGTCAAACAAAGGGAATTATCTAGAATTGTCAATAATAGATTGGCTTCTTGTCCGCATAATCTGCACAATAATAATTGGAGGTATACCAAAACATCGTAAATTGTTCTTTTTTATTATCGCAATGCTCCATTTTTAGCAAGGAACAAAAAAATTTAACTTTTAATGGGTGGAGCGATGTACGCAATCTGTGAATTTAACGTTTATAGGGTCAATATTGCGTTCAAACCAATCCACGCTGAAATCAATGCATTCAACAATATGATCATTACCAGTAAGTATGAATTATTAATTTTAATATTTCATTCAAATCTAGAAACTCGACAAGCTTATTGAGGACGTAAATTATATAAAAGAATTCAAAATTTCTAATCCTTTTTATAATTCTTAACTCATTATATTCAAAGGACATTAAAACCGTTGTGAGTCCAACTATACAAAACGGCTGCAATTCTTTATTCATGTAAAATTTGAAAAAAATTTATTTCTTTAATTTGCGAACTTTTTTACACTTTTACGTGTATTCTTTGTCCTCTATTATATTTTTGTAAAGTGAAGAAAAGAAGTCAGATGGCTTAATATAAATGATCATAATAAAATGAATATAAAGATATTGAAGCGAGTAGTAAACATATTCACCATCTTTGTCACGTGTCATACCACAGTAACTTCACAATGATTTTTAATAATGAAAAAAAATGTACATTTTTTTCTAGGTTTCAGGATATACCAACATGGAATAATGGATGATAAATGGCATTGAATTTCAAGGAAATATGAGTTCTGAACTTTTTCACTTGAATTCTTTATTTTTAAATCATATGGCACAGTAATCACAATTTATACACGCGAGCTTATTGTTAACACAAAAGAATTTAATAATTAAGTAAATTAATATATTTATTATTTAGATACATTGATGATTGAAATATAAAAATATTGAATAAATTTCCAAAATAAGATTGTTTGTCGTACGCATAAAAAACTGATTATCATACAAAAAATTTGATATATTCTTTTTCTTCTCTCCAGGGAAACATCAGAGATATAAACCACTTTCATAGTTATGGCTACGCAAATTTTCCCTTTACTTATACTTGCAGACGTAGATGGATTATCTTATAAAGGATTCATTACTGTCAAAGTACTTTAAAAAATTTCCACGAACCAAAAGAAAAAAATGAACGGTTTCATGAAGTCAACTTTTTTTTGTTGTTTTTTTTAGGGACAAGAACTTCATTTTGAGATACAATTGGAAAGCAGTAAATCATTAACGAATGCAAAATTACATGGAAGTCCAGAACTTAAGAGATTACTTTTTGGTCATGAGAAAGCTTTGAAACAGGTTACAAAAAAAATTTTATTTTTTAAAAATTTTTTTTTTTTGATTTACATTAGCATAATCTTTTTGTTTCATAGCGTCTTGAACAATGTTCTAGCTTGACCGAATTCTTTGTAGATCTTAAAGATTTGCTTGTTAAGTATGGTTTCATTGGCTTCTAATATAAGTATTTATAAACATGAATCTAACTTATTATTTTGTTTAATTTAAATATTAGGAAAGTATTATGACAAAAGAAAAACGTGAACGTATACCGGATGAAAGTTACTACTCAAAACTCTTAACAGAATTGGATGGCATCGGATGGGACAAATTAGAATCTCTCGATCCTTTACTGAAATTTTTGACTTTAACTTTGAAGTATGAATTCTATTTTGGAAACTTAATATATTAATTTTTTGTGAATATCCGTAATTATTTTTCCTTTTTTACAGCGATTCGTCAGGTCGAAAACATAAAATATCCATTTCTTTACCGTTCTCCTACCCACAAAAACCACTTACCGTTCAAGCCGACCTTCCTTCTTTCACATCCAATATTCCAAATCCAACAACAAGTTTCAATGAGGTTATCTCTTTTTATCTAAAGGTAAGCGCATAATAATAATATGTAAAAAGCTTTTATTAGGTATTCATCGTATTTTTTTTTTTTTTTACTCAACATTAGGAATTTGAGAAATTTCAAGAAATTTGGTCAATGCTTGATGATATTGATGCCAATACATGGGTATTAGAACCCGATAAACCAAGGCGCGGTGATATATCACGAAGAATTGCGTTAGGAAATCATTGTTCTTTATATGTTAAATTGGATGAATTGAATCCCAAAAGAATTTGTGATTATACTTTATTTGGCGCAGAAAATTTCATTGCGCCACTAAAAGTCAACCTTTCAAAGAACTTTAATAATTGGAATCTTTCGTTTACTGTACGTCAAAATCTTGAGAAAATATTGGAAATAAATTTTCCTTCGCCTAAAACAAGTTCAGCATCAGATTTTAACGTGGCGTGTGGGATTTGTTATTCTTATCGTTTGGATGATGTAATTCCAGACCAAACTTGTAGTAATACTAAATGTGGTCAACCTTATCATCAAGTTTGTTTATATGAAGTAAGTGAATTTACAAGTTTCTATGTAATTGATATTTGATATTAACAACTTTTTTCCATCCAGTGGCTTCGTGCTATTCCTTCAACAACACAAATTTTTAATAGATTAAGAGGAGATTGTCCATATTGTAATGATGTAATGAATTTTTTCATTATTGAATTTGAGACATCATTCTATAAAGAAGTTTTAACTTTTTTTTTTTTTGGGAAATTAGATAATTATACTTATAATAAACGACAATTAATCCTAAAAAAATGGATTAATATGACTATAAAAAAATTTATACGAGAATAAAAAATGGTTAAAGTCGATTTTAAAATAATGGTTGTACACTGGTTGTACAGTATTTTTATTTTGTAAATGGAAAGGATCAACGCAATATTTCGTCAAACTTTGTTAATTATTTAAATGTAAATCTGAGAAAATTAATTAAATTGTATTTTGCCTATTTAAAACACATACTTAAAAAAAAAAAATATTTATATATGATATCATAAAACTCTAGTATATCATAAATAAATTATTCAAAAGAAAATAAATTTGTCATGGCATCCGACCGATCCGATAACGAAAGTGAAGCTGACGCATTTGTAGATGCATCCGATACATTTACGGATGATGTAGAAGGAAAACCAGTACCATATCGATATTCTACAGCAATATTATCTTCAATAGCAAGAAATGCTAATGATCTAGTATCAATATTTACATCTAATACAGAACCAACATTACAAAATAATTCTCGAGAAATTCCAAATGTTGGAGTTCAAGCCATACCAGAAATATCAATCACAGATACTTCAAATGGTGACGGCAAACAAGAAGTGCGAGAAGTTTTAATTGATAGTGGGGATACATCATCAATAAATACTGACATCTCGCAAGATAAGGATATGCCAAATTATAACAACATGACTGAAATAAATATTCATAATTCTGATAATAATGGAAAACGTGAAGAAGGACCTATTGATCTAACAGTCTACGTTAAAGATTTAGATACAGGAAAAAACATACCTGCAGATTATTTAGAAGAAGAAATTAAAAAATCGAATGGAAATATTGACCCACTTTCTTTTCATATTTTGAAAAGGTCAGGATCAATCAATAATTATCAATATGAACGTGGAAGGAAAGATGAAAGTGATGATGAAAATGGAAGACATCAAGATGGAAAGGCTTCATATAAGTAAAAATTTGAATTTCATTTGATGTATTAAATTATTATTATTTTTTTTTTATTTTAAAAAAATTAAAAAACAAAATTTTTGAAAAAATAAGACGATCAAAATTTCTTAATCGTATTAAAAAACGAACATCGCATCCCGCAAAAGGCGAAGGAGATGAAGATACAGGAGATGAAGAAAATGTAACAGGGAATAATGCACCAGTATTTGGTACAGAAAGTGGTTTCGGACGAGCACAGCCACGTTATATAAAGGTGATTACTTTTTTTCTTTTTATATTTGATAAGAATAACCAACTCAATATCTTTTAAATTTTAGGTTAAAACACGACATAAGCATTTCAAAGAATTTGATAAGTTATTTCTTGCACAAGAATTATTTAATCCAACACAAAATGGTGCATCAGGAGCAATTTGGACAATGAAATTTAGTAAAGATGGAAAGTTCTTGGCAACTGGAGGACAAGATACAATAGTTAGAGTTTGGGCTGTTATATCAAGTGATGAGGAACGGGAACATTTTTTGGAGGGAAGTGGAATAAGTGTTTATGAAGGATCAAGCGGATCGAAATTGGGAGCTCCCGTGATGAGAGACAAACCTTTATATGAATATCATGGTCATACCGCTGATGTTTTGGATTTAAGTTGGAGTAAAAATAACTTCTTGCTTTCTTCTTCAATGGATAAAACTGTGAGGTAAAGCTTTAAGGAAATCTATAAGATAAATATTGAGAATTAATTATATATTTGGGTTATAGATTATGGCATATTACGCGGAAAGAATGTTTGTGCTGTTTCCAACATACAGATTTCGTGACAGCCATCGCATTTCATCCAAGGGTAACCTATTTATTCAATTAAAAAATTTTTCAAATGTAATCTTTAATAAATTGCGTATATGTTTATTTAGGACGATAGATTTTTCTTGTCGGGATCATTAGATTGTAAATTGAGACTTTGGAATATTCCAGAGAAGAAAGTAGCAGATTGGATGGAAACTCCGCAACAACAACTAATAACAGCAGTAGGATTTACTCTTGATGGGAAAATGAGTGTAGCAGGAAGTTTTTCGGGGTTATGTTTGTTTTATGAAACTGACGGGTTAAAATATAATACACAAATCCACGTAAAAAGCTCTCGTGGAAGAAATTCTCACGGAAAGAAAATTACCGGGATCGAGGCTATGCCGGGAACTAAACCGGGTCAAGATAAAGTAATTTTTTTTTTTTGAATTGAATTAGAAAGAAATAATTTAATTAATTACATATTTTATTTATAGCTGTTGATCAGTTCTAACGACTCGAGAATTCGATTGTATAATATGAGAGATAAATCATTGGAATGTAAATATAAAGGCTATGAAAATACTTACAGTCAAATTCGCGCTACATTCAGGTATTAATTACAAATAGCGTAATAAGAATAAATTACAAAACTTGATATAAAACCAATCATTATTCTTTTTTAATAGTGATGATGGCAGATATATAATCAGTGGATCCGAGGATCGGCATGTATATATATTCAACACAGATCAATCACATTCTAATGCTCATTATGGAAATAGTGGTAATAGTTGGCTTAAAAGGGAAAAAATTGGTTATGAAAGTTTTGAAGGTAAAAATATATATAATCATCTATCTTTCAAGGATTGACATGTTAATGAAATATATTCATTTTTATGATAAATAGCTCATTCCGCAATTGTAACGGCAGCAATATTTGCACCAACAAGAACAAAACAATTGATTGCATTATGCGGAGACCCAATTTTTACAAACACGGTGAATAATGAGACAAATTTACCTAATGTCCTCACTCAAACTTATCCAGATGGAAATATTATTGTTTGTGCTGATTATTCCGGGAGTATCAAGATATTTAGACAAGATTGTGCTTATTATCATTCTCATGATAATGATTCCCATTCTGTTAGGAGTACAAGGTGAAATTATTTAGAAGAAAACTTCTTGTATTTAATTAAAATTTTTTTTTTTAGTAACCGTATTCCTTTTTAGATCTTGGAATTCTGCACTTGGGAATAATTTAGGAAATTTATTTTCTAAACCAAAGCAAAATAAAAGTTTAATATGGAATCCGACGGGTGTCAAAATAGGTGGTGGAAGAAGGAAAAGTGATGCATCAAGTTTATATTCTGTTACTTCGAGCATTATGAGTGCTGATGCGGACGATAATAAACTTGAAGAAGATTGTGAAAAATTATTTCAATGTGAATGCGGTTGTAGTGAATTTAAAGCTTTCGTTAATGAAGATGCAAAATCTAAATTGGTTTGTACTGGTTGTAATAAAATTGCTTAAAACAAGATAAGAACGATTTTATTTAATTACTTTGTAGATTGAAAAAAAAAAAAAATAATAATAATTTATTGTATAATGATATTTATATATATTTAGTTTGTATAATAATAAATATTATATCGTCTTGCTTGCATTATAAAACGTTTAAGTATCTTACCATTCCCTAAAAGAAGAAAAATAAAAAAAATAAGTAAAATAAGATAATTTTATTACCAAATAATTTTTTAGAAAAAAAGTGACAGATAAATAAAGTAAGAAGAAACGTTCAAAGCTCGTTGTAGTGATCCTTATTATAATTTGAATTTTTATGGTTTATTTCTCTATAGTGAACGCTTAATAACATCTCGTAATAGTGAAACAAAAAATATATTTGAATAGAGAAACTTTCTGATATTGAATTAATCACGGAGAACTCACTATGACGAGCTTTGATTAAAATAATGAATTCTATATTTTATTTGTACATATCATTCCATATCATTCCATATATAAGTTATTAGTTACAAAACGAATCCCATTCAAACGAACAATTTATTTTATACCATCTTATAACACCTTCTTCATAATATTTCTCAAATATATCATTGACATCATTAAAATCCGTTATATGATTGTCTGAAAGACAAAAGGCTATTCTTTTCTTCTTCTCTTTACAATCGTTCAAGTAAAATCTCAACGCTTCTGTTGAGAAAACCCATCTTCCCCTTAACCCTAATTTCCATAAACCTTTTGGTGTATATTCTTTACATAACAAGTTTAATAATAGATCACCTTTAATCTTTTCTAACTCGGTACCCTGAAGTATTAAACATTCTAAATCTTGACATCTCATTAATATATCTGCTAAAGCATTCCATTCATCATTCAAAAACCAGGTAGCCAAGAATTTTAGTTTTGGACAATATTGAACAATAGTTTCATTAAGGGTCACAGATTGATCATCTTCATCAGGCTCATAGTCAACTATAATACTATAAAGTCCACCGTTATTGTTTGCTATAATGCTCTTTGTAACATTCAATGACAATATATCAAAATGAAGATGGAGTATTTCCAACTTTGGTAAGTAAGCATTTGCCAATTCCTCCCAGGCTTCTTCTTGTTGTGATCCAATCAAGTTTATTATTAATGACTTTAAATTCATCATGGTTGTAATCGTTACTGGTCGTATAAAAGGAAATTTCACCAGTTCAAGGTGCGTATAAAAATTCGCATTTTTTCTAAATACATCTACTATAGCTCCAAATTTTTGATCTTCTCCAAGTTCATCACCCAAACACTTTACATATTTTAAATTATGTTGCTGCATCTCAATTAAAGCTGCCAACCCGAGGTTATCATCATCAAAAAATTCTATGACTATTCTTTCAATATTTCTACATAATTGTGCCATCGCAAAAAAGATTGTTTCATGTACCGCCGTATGACATCTCAACTCAGTGAGTAAAGCGAAACTTTCTTGAGCTCCAGGAAAATATGCAAGTGGGATATGATCTAGGATAAGAACGGGAATCGTGCCACATTTATTTATAAACATTTTACAAATTTCTTGTTCCAAAAGATGTTGAATATATAATAATCTTCGTGGTCGTTCATGTTGATGTGCCATATAAGTGACCATTTCAATCATAGCTGATATTGCGACACAATCAAGCGACTTCAAATAAGCGGGATAGTCAAATAATTGAACTTTTGGAGTATATAACGTTATTTTAATTCCATTTGATATCAATAATTCTTTAGAACTATCAGAAAGACATGATGTTATCGTGTTAAAGACTGCTCCCCAAAATCTATATGTATCTCCTGTGAGTCCAACTTTTATTCGAAATTCCCACAAATTTCTCCAGAATACTTCAATTGCTGTCTGACACCACAATCTATTTACTAAAATACATGAATGTAGTGTACAATGATCATTTTCCAAATAATTGATTACTTCCATAACAACATCATGAGGGAGAATTGGTGATGACAACATCATTTGAGGGGTCCCTAAACCGTTTTTATGAGACATGGCAAATAATCTTGATCACTTGTAAAATGAACTTGACAATTACGACCATTTAAATATTTTTTTTTTTTTTTTTTTTGAAATTAGTTTTAATTGAATTGAAAATAATTGGCAAAACTGACTTTAAAGTAATTATATATTCATAACCATTTACCTCTTTCAACAAGAAATATTAAATAAAAAAAACGAATTTTAAATATACTAATCGATCATGAAATATTGATGATTAATCGCTAAAGATGTGAAAACAAATTAAATATCATTTAGAAGAATAATTAAAAAGGAAAATTTCATTGAATATAAAGATTTTCTTTCTCTTTTAGAACGAATAATTGATATTTTATATCAATTAACTAACCTTATTTATAGAAATAGCAGCAGTAATTTGTACTCCTGTCAAATTTTAATAAAATATTTTTTTTTAAAAAAAAAAAAAAGAGCCAAAATTTATTATTTAGTTTAAAAAGAAAAAAAAAAAAAAAAAAAGATAAAAAAAGGGGGGAAGCGGATTTACATGAAAAAAGAAATTTGAACCTAAATTTTTATTAAAATTCTCAAGCACATGCATGATAACGCATGTTGTAACCTACGATAACGATTTTAAAAACAAATTTTTTTTGTGATGCAAATCGAACAATGCATAATTTTTGTTTCGTACCACCAATATCAATATAGAAAAACTATATTTTTTTGGGGCGGATCATTCGAAATATTTACGCCAAATTCCTTTATCTTATCAGGTTCTTATCTTAATAATTTTTGTCAAAGCAATGATTTAAATTATTTTCTTAATAAAGTAATTTTGTTTAAACTATTTGTTCATAAATGCGTTTGGTTAATTAAACTTGCTTTAGATTTTCCTAAATAAAGTAAAATTATATTAAAAGGTTTCGCTACATTTTTATGTTACACCATTAAAATAGGTTTTGATGGAGGTCTAAATTGTCAAACTATTAGCATCTTATCACAAAAACATTTTCTGTTTTCAGATTACTTGATAAAAACGAAACACAGAATTTTATATAGCTACCTTTTATGTCCAATATAAATAATGATAAATGTAACCTGTCAAAACCTATTTTAACATGTAATTTAAAAAACTGATAAAAATTTTAAAATAACTTTCTCAATCTGCAATTTAATTTAATTATATTGAACTTAAGTAAACCGATAAAAAGTTTTAATAAAGATATTTATTATAAATAAAATAGTTTAATTTAAAATTATATTAGATTTTATAATTAATTAAATAAAAAACAATCTAACTTTTTTATTATATTATTAATGATAATTGTAATAATATTACTTATTTTTACAATAATAACATTTTTTTAATTAAAATAATATCAAATTAAACATGGTTAAAAATAAAAAATAAAAATAAATTATATGATCTGATGAGTTAACTTTATCTTTATTTAAATCAGATAAATAAATAAAAAAGTATAGCAAAGAATAAAAGTTTATAATAAAAGTTATATTTAACATTAACCTATTGCTATTATTAAATTTGATAATAAATTTATAATATTTTAAGATTGTTTTAGCTAAAATGAAATTGGATTATTAGTAATAGTTGAAGAAATATAAGTATTGATATTTATATTAATATTATTGTAAAATATTTAATATTATAACTTTGTAATTCAAATATAATATTTTATATATAATTTAGTAAATATACAATCAGAACTCAATATAGCACAAACCCTTTGATTTACTATAAAATTTTTAAAAAATTAACTTATTAAAATTTATAAGTTCTATATAATAATTTTATATATTTAAATATACTGTTATCTTACGATACTAACGACTGAAAATTAGTATTGACGCAAGATTAACAAGGGATTTAGCTTTAAGACTTTTATGATACGATTTATGGAGAGCTTCTGAAGGTTTATCAATCAAATATATTTTAGAGACAAATTATAATTTCTGGGTTAAGTATTTAGAGTTTTATAAAGAAAAGAATTATTACAAGTGTATTTGTTAGCATACAAATGTATCTAGTAATTATCTTGTTGACGATAAAACTAAGTAAATTCTCTACCGTTTATGAAGTTCTAAAGCTACCCTATTTATAAGAAATTTGATAATATAAATAAATAAAATAAAGAAACATAAGAT